AAAATAGCACCTTCATAAAAAGTGCAGACATCATATTAGTACTAATGCCAAATTTAGCGAATATAGCACTCGTAAAATATCTGGAAGTACCAAAAATAGGTTGTTTCTAAGCAAAATAAAGGTATCCATTGCAACGAAATAAAAAATAGCACCTTCATAAAAAGTGCAGACATCATATTATTACTCATGCTAATTTTAGTAAATATAGCACTCGTGAAATATCTGGAAATACACAAAATAGGTTGTTGTTAAGCAAAACAAAGGTATCCATAGCAACGTAATAAAAAAATAGCACCTTCATAAAAAGGGCAGACATCATATTAGTACTCATGCTAATTTTAGTGATTATAGTCCTAATATTAAATTAGTTATGAATTTTGTCCAGTAAAAGTGAATTCTGGCTCACTGTGAATCTGCACAAAAAATAATTATAAGCTTTTTGAAGAATGTTTTAAAGAATCATGATCATGTACAGTGCCAAATCAAGGGGGGCTAGGGGGCTATAGCCCCGGGCCCCGCAAATTTAGGAGCCCCTAAAAATTTTAGAGGATTTTTTTTTTTAAGTCTTTTTTAGGCTCTGGCCCATAAAAAGGTCCCCAAAAACAAAAATAGCCCCGGGCCCCAAGAAGTCTTAATCCGCCACTGATCATGTAAAGAGTACTAAGAGTATTCTAAAGAATAATGATCAGCTTTTTAAAAGTTAGAAGATAATGTAGTTTAATGTTGTAGTTTGTTTCCCAGCCATTTGAAGCAACCTTTAATTCTTTAGATGCTGTGTAATCTAAGGAAGAAGTTTTTAATTTTATCCAAAAAAAATTTCAATGAAGGAAAAATGGCCAGTATAATAGTTTTGTGTACACTTGAATCCTTGAAATCTTTGAATGCATATCCTTTACACTTTCTCAATTTAATTGGAATTTTATTATTTTCTAACTCTGGTTTTTTAGATGATTGATAGATTAACTATAAGGAATGTCCTCCATCTACATCTAATTTGATATTAGCATTATTTGTTTCTTGATGTCATTACAATGCACCATAGGAGTATCTTTTTCTAAGCATCAAAATCTACCTGGTATGCTGTTTTAGTTGAAGTTAGTCGAATTTATCCAAAGAAAATAGCTAAGTCTTTCCGACATAAACAACAAGTTACTTTAAATCAAAAGCTTTCAAAGCTAAAGTATTTCCAGACTCATTTATGCTCTTTGATAGAACTGGAAAGAACTTTTCCTAGCGTAGTAGGGGATGTTGATCTTACTTTTGACGTTAAAATCTTTTGTCTTTCTTTAAGACCTGTAAACAATGATGAAATAACATACATAACTATGTATATTTTTTCATCATTATTTACAGGTCTTAAATCCTTGCCTTTCCAAAAGCAGCAAATACAAAATATTTTAACAAAATCAAAGTGCTCTTTTGCATGATTAAGCATTTTAAATGAATTCATTCAAACAAAATCTTCTGATTTATAATATTGAACGTCGAGATACTTCGCTACTCTTTCTGAACTTCTGATGTGAATTTATAACATAATTTTTTTTTTGTCTCCGCAGCAGCACCTTCTGGAGTAGCAGGACTGTCTTTTTTTAAGAAAATTCTAGATATAGAGGACTCTTTTGTTTAAAATTGACGAATGTGTTCCATTTCGAAACCCGTGTCGTCGACCCTGAATCGTTAAGTAAAAGTAAAAGTGTAAAACTTGTTACAGTAAACTCCCGCTTATTGAAACTGGCACTTATTAGAACTTCCTGCATATTCGAAATAATTATCCTTCCCCGTGAATTTTCCAAAACAAAGTCATTCAAGAATTAAACAGTTATTCGAACCTGCAGTGATTCGAAATTTCGGTTATTCGAAATGATTTTTTACTACTCTTGGCAAAATCCCAGTCAGTTATTCAGCTGTATCGCCTAACACTGTAATGAATTTTTTTAGAAAGGCAGGCATATCGCATGAAATACAGATTGCAAATATAAATGGTAAAGATGATTCTTTCGAATTGCTTGAAGAGAACGTCATAGACTCAAACGATTTATTTACTTATGTAGCATCGGTAGATTTTACAAATATACTATATAAACTAAATCACAGTAAAATATTGATCTATATAAACCGATAATATTGACCTTGTATCACATGAAAATTTGTTCTAATCATAATAGCTATTTTGAATATATTTTTTTTCTTTCTTTTTTTTATTTATGGCATATTTTACATGGGCGTTTAATTGCTTTGCACATTCTAATTTTTTTCTTAAAACTTATAATGTTGGTTGAGGAAGAAATGCCTTTTGGGATCAAGCTCCAAATTAATAGTTCTAGATAGCGAAGTGAATGTATTCGTACAATTCCAATTTAAATTCTAAAGGTACTAAAGTAAGGATTAATTTTTAGTATTAAGCGTTTTCGTATTAACGAATATAATGCCACCTAGTGAGCTTTCGTTAGGATCATTTTTAATTTCGAACATTTCTATAGTTAAAAATTGCAAATTTCTATGAAGTACTGAACCCTTGTATGGGACTTATTAATTTTTGCACTTGTTGCTTTACTACAACCCATCAACTCAAGAGGGCAGTACATAAATTGTAAATTGAAGAAGACGTTTAATACCATTTTCTTTTTCTGATTGTCGAGATACTTAGCTACTCTTTAAGAATGCTATGCTTGGTTCGCTTTTGCGAAGACTTAAATAAGATGTTAATTAAAATTTTAATTTGTTGTCTATAGTTATTCCAAGTAGTTTAACATCATTTTCTTCCAAATTTGATTACGATTAAAATATGCGCAAGTTGTTCCATGTTTATGTCCCTCTACTATTAATGACATTTTTTAGAATTAAGCTTTAGACAGTTACATTTTAACCATTTTACAATCAGCTTAGTATTATTCTCAAGTTTATTGAATAGAACATGCACGTCTACATCTATTAAATAAGGTTTAGTGTTATCTGCAAAATTACACACTGCGCAATTTTAGATTGGAAAGAACATATCATTAATATATATATTTAAAAGTAGGGGTCCTAACACCGAACCTTGTGGGGCACCTCGTAATACTTTTGACCTAGAGCTATATGATGCGTTTTTTTTTTTGTTCTTTGGTATCAATCATCTAAATAGCTTTTCATAAGTTTCAAACCATTTAAGTCAAAACCATATTCATTATGTTTAGCTATTAGTCATGATTTAATTAACCAAAAGCATCAGAAGTTCATAAGAATACCAGCAGCAGATCGTTTTTCTTAAAAATTGGCCTTATGTCTGCTTTTTTAAATTCGTTCGAATAAATGTCTCTTATAACCACTTCATTATTCCATATGCTGAAAATATTTTGAATATAAATCTTCAATAAGTTTCATTGTCTTTACAGGAATTCCATTGAGAGTATTACTTTTCCTTGGATTAAGTTTGGTAATTTTATTATAATATTTATCATCATATTTTTTTACTTTAAAAGGGTTTTTGTAATTTTGGTTTAATCAGAATAAAACTTCGGTGGTTTTTTATATTTTTCTATTACTTTATATGTTTTAATATGTTTTACCATTACATTAAAGATATTTGCTTTTTAGATATTTTCATACACTTTTCTTTTTAAAAAAAGTGTTACAAATCTTTCTCATTATTACCTCAATTGTAATGGCTACCAAAGGTTCCTTGTCAAACAGGCTCGAAGGGGCACTACTACTACTACTACTACTACTACTACTACTACTACTACTATTACTACTACTACTACTACTACTACTACTATTACTACTACTACTACTACTACTACTACTACTACTACTACTACTACTACTACTACTACTACTACTACTACTACTACTACTATTAAGTTCAGTATTATTTAAAGAGATAATAATAGTTATTTATAATGATTATTTGTATATTTAATGAGAATAAATGAGAAGTTGTATATTTAAGATAATGGTATTAATTGTTATTTATAAAAATTATATAATAAAATAATAATTATAAAATATATAATAAAAATTTCATGATGTTTTAAAAATCTCTACGAACGAGAACGCAAAAATAGAATTTTTTCAGGCTATTTAATTGTAGGATTACCTAAAAACTAATGTTTCCTTAATTTAGTATTCATAATAATTTTATGCATTTTCACTTATTAAAATAAATAAAATTAAAAATAAAATATACAAAAATGGTAAGTGGTGACATATCACGGTAGGAGAGAAACGTATTTAACGTACTTAATTTTTAAATTTTATGCGTATTTAAATTTAAAAAAAGTGCGTCAAAAAGTTTAAAATAACATTTTAAAAATAATTCTACTGGGATTATTAGAAATTAATCAGTAATTGAATGGAAATTTTTCACCCGAAAACCTGAAATATAAATCTTTTACGGTTTCGGAGTATTGAAGTTATTCAATTTATTATTCATTATTATTTCATTATGTTAAAAACTTATTACTCTAAAAACTCATTACTCTAAAAACTCATTACTACATTACTTATGTTTATTTTGTGCGGCCGTGGCGCACAAATTATTATGTGCGGCCGTGGCGCAGTGGTTAGAACGCTTGCTTAATAAATAAGAGATATATTTAGCGTCACGGTAAGGAAGGAGGCGTGAACTTCCTGGTTAAATGCACTTCGACGGTGCTCTGTGACAAGACCGTAGGACTTCTTGGGGTACCTAAATAAAAAATTTAAAAAAAAAAAAAAAAAAATTAAAAACTCATTCATTATTTTTTCATTATGTTAAAAACTTTCATAAAATCACGGCAGGAGAAGAAATGACCCTAATTAAGAAATGTTTTGTTTGAAAGTTATTTTAAATTTTAGTCATAATTTTAAATATAAATATTTTTATTGTTAAGTAAATAAATACTATTAACAACATATAAATAAAATTCTAGACAGTAGGATAGTCATACGTTGAATTCTTAAAATTTATTTGAAATATCCTGTACAAATATTTGAAATCAAAGCATTTCATTCACAAATTATTTTGAAAGTTATATAAATTAAAATGTTTATTTTTTATGTATTTTTCAATTACACGCACCCACGCAAATAGACATACAACATATTCAACTTTGATAAAATTAAATAATATGATATTCGAATTTCTATAGATTTAGATCCAATTAACTATTTGTTAGCTAATCATTAGTTGACTAGATCTTGTGAAAGTGATTGTCATCACTTTCGGAACCAGTTATGCGAGAAAATCGAAAATTGTTTTCATTGTTTTTTGGATATTCTTTTTGCTGATTGACAGATGTGGAGTTTTCATTAGGAACATAGAACAATGGAGATTTAGGAAAGTGTAACGACTCTTCTTCAAACGTTATTTGCGAACGAATTACTTTCCTACTAGGAGTAACAGTTATTATTTTACTAATAGGTAAATTAGTTAACAGGTTATTGTTTGATGTATCCGCTATTAAACTACTTTGAGGCGTGCTAGTTAAAAAGTTATTATTAGGCGTACTAGATTCAAAGTTCCCATTTGATGCGCTAAATTTAATTTTTGTAAATAATTCATTTTCTTCATCTTGAGATTTCCAATCAGGTGTAAAAATGTTAGTTGTTTTTGAACCTGTTGATAAGTTTGGAGTACTTCGAACAATACCAAGGTATGATCCAACTTTTAAATTTTCATTTTTAGTATCAAATTGTAAACTTTGATTTGAAGAACTACTATGTGAGCTAATTTTTCTTTTTAAACCAAAGTTATTGAGCTCCTCGTTTTCAGAATGTTTTAAAGCTTCTGCGGCAGCCATTTCAAACCAAGATTCTAGTTTATTTAACTCTTCTGAAGGAGATTTATAAAAATTAGGTGTGTCTGTAATATTTACTTCCACCTCTTTTGTTGAAGATAAAGATGTTATAAGATTGTCAAATTTTTCTAGCTCTACAGAGCGCAGATTGCAAACATCTAACGATTGTTTCCGCCTAAACTTTTTTGAAGTCATTTTTTCTGACTTAAAATCAGGTAAAAAATCACTAATGCTTCCGTCGGAAAACCTTCTTATATCTTTCGGTTGAAACGTCTGATCATTCTCATTCTGATCATTCTCATTCTGATTACGATCATGAGAACCATGATCTTGATCGGGATCACTTAAACTACTCTTAGACCGAAATCTCCATTTAAAATTCCAATTTCTTCTAGATTCTTTTTTAGAACACTCTGTTAAAGAAGATACTTCCGTATATTTGTTTTGTTTCGATTTAGAAGATGTTCTAAAAATTGGTTTCTCTCGTCGTAATATACCGTGTGACAGCTTTCTTTGCAACAATGGAGACTTACTTTGACTTTTTGTAAGTTTTTTTTCATTTAAATCTCCTAATGTTCCTAATGAATATCCTCTCTTGTGTAGAGATTTTGATTGGGAATCAGTGTTTTCAGGATATATGATATTTAAAGACTCTTGATTTTTAATGTCTTTCAAAGATGGGTTTAAATTTATCACATAATTGTTTTCTTCAATTTTGCTTAAACTTTCTTGAAACGAAGTTTCTGAAGTTACATTTGTCTCCATAACGATTATAGGTATTGAAGAAGTGTTGTCGCTGCTGTCTATTACGTTTGATCTAACATTACTTTTCACAAGATCATGAAGAGCACTATATAAATCTTGAATCTGGGTGAAAGATGCTGGCTTTCTTTCGCAACCACTTGAATTACTATTTTCGGAACTTAGCGAATCTCTACTAATTTTACGCACTGGCTGAGATGACGCGATAAGAAGCGACGGTTTAGAAAAATGATTCGAATCATGTGTAGAGTCGTGTGTAGAGTCGTGTGTAGAGCCGGACTCAATCGTCATTTTTCTGTGCCAATTTTTTTATAAAACTGAAACATAAAACAAAATTTGTTAAACGTTCACATTAAAAAAAAAAAAAACACTTTGATTAGTTATGTTTACTTACTTCTTCCATAGTAAGCAGTGTAAATAATTTTTTGAGTGTTGTTAAAACAAATACTCGACACATTAACTGAGATCGTTTTCTGTGTCAAAAATCGCGTTTAAGATTAAGTTAACGATTTAAATTTCTAATAAATTAATTTTCGCGGTTGGAACTAAATCTAAGATTTTGAATTTTATCCATCCAAAGTAAAACCGCTTCTCTTGTAAAACAAAAAATTGTGAAGTAAAAAGTTTGTTGTACGAACCTTTTTAAAAAATTTTTTTCTCTCCTCAAAGTTTATTTTAATATTTTAAAACATTTTCCTGCTACAAAATACTCCAAAACACATTTACAAATACTTTAGTGTTTAAAAATATCTAAGTACTCTTGTTACGTAAATATGGAAGCTGAACTTCTGCAGCAATACCAAAAAAAGTGCTCTTTGATCCGTACCTGAATTCAGAGAGAGGCAAAATTTGAAGAATATTACTTCCTATTGAAAAGTTTTATTTCAGGTTTTTGGAGCTTTAAACAATAATATTGTTTGTTTTGTTTTTTTTTTTCAAAACTATTTACCGAACATTTTTCTAAATTCTTTGGAAGTGATTTTTAAAAAAAAAAACACATAGTTCAAAGTTTTGATAAAAGGATAGTTTTTTTTTTTAAAAAAAAAAAAACACTGTTTACTCAATTCAGTTTTTTGAATGAATATAAAAAAGCGAGTTATTCATTTTTCAAAAGCGATATTTATTTATATATTGCTTACCAGATATTATAACTTCAACTTGAAATCCGAGTAGGAAATTGTCGAAGATAAAATACTTTAATATAGAACGATATTACTACAAGAGGCTTAAAATATTTATGTTTTAATTGCGATAAATTAAACAATGTAACATTTGAGGGCGGATTTGCTTGACGACAGTTAAAACTTTTAATTACGTAACAAAAGTAACGTTGTTGTTTTTTGTATTAAAAAGGAACTTAAAGAATAACTTTAATTTTATTTGCAGTGTTTTGGGGAAATTAAATTAAATTAAATTAAAGGGTCATTTTTATTATAAATAAGTAATATAAATAAACTAAAATAATTGAATGGTCTTTTAAAAAGTGGCTTTCCAAAAAAAAAAAAAAAATACAGTTTCTTTTAAATATTTGTTTGCAAAAATATGTTGTTACAATATTAGTGGCGAAATGATAAGTCTACTAGCTTTTTCTCTGACCTTTCTTTGTGTGCGTGTGTGCGTGTGTGTGCGTGTGTGTGTGTTTGTGTGTTTGTGTGTGTGTGTTTGTGTGTTTGTGTGTTTGTGTGTGTGTGTGTTTGTGTGTTTGTGTGTGTGTGTGTGTTTGTGTGTTTGTGTGTTTCTTGTTTATTGTAAATAATGTAATATAACTACAAGTTCCTCAATCAGAATTATTTCTTTTTAGGTGAAGAGACTTATTTTTGTTTTTAGAGATGTAATTTTGACACTATATTGAAAGTAGGAGTTGTTTACTCATTGTTAAAAGTTTAAAAAGTTGTTTTTTTCACCTTTTTTTATATCAGACACATTATTCAAATTATTTAATCAATTATATCACATTTAAGTTATATTTTTTTCAAATTTTAGTTTTGTGTGTGTTTTTTTCCCGCATCTCGAAGCTAGAGAAGGGTTTTGTTTTTTGTTTTGTTTTTTTGTATCTTTTTTACCATTTGTTGTCTGTACTAATAATAATGATGTTAATACACCGATATTTTAGTTCTTGTCGTTATTTTTTTTCGCTGATTTAAATCCTGCCGTGAAATTTTTTTGTATCTTTTTTACTATTTGTTGTCTGTACTAATAATAATGATGTTAACACACCGATATTTTAGTTCTTGTCGTTATTTTTGTTCGCTGATTTAAATCCTGCGGTGAAATTTTATAGATACTACTTTTTTTTGGAATTGAGTAAAATAAAAATGATCGAAATTTCTAACATAAATTGCAACAATTATCAAACAAACTATGAAATATCTGTTTGATTGGAATAATTTGAAAAATAGGTAAATTTACTTTTGCTTTGAAAAAATAATTTTGAAAAAATTCTCAAACGGGTTCTAATACTATTTTAATAATCTTTACATATATGCATATATATAACGCCGATATCGATGGTTTAAAACACAAAAGACACTTGTTCATACCCAGTGGGCATTTCGACGTCGAACGAACGTCAAGCGACGTCGGATCTCGACGTCGGATCGACGTTGGGTTTACGTTGGAAATGGAAATGTTATTTTACATCGGATAAACTGACATCGCGCGACGTCGGCATTCCGATGTAAATCCAACGTGTTTTTTGAAAACTAAAAAACGCTGCCTCTGACAGGAATCGAACCTCGGTCTGTTAGTTACTAAATCCTATGCGCTTACCACTACACCACAAGGACATATTAATTAATGAGTTTATTTAGTAATTTATACTTGTAGCTATTTGGGAATTATTACTTTGATAAGAAATAATTTTGTATAAATATTATATAAATATTAAAACGAATAGTTATATATTATAAAAAATGTATACTCGAAAATGTTAATAGTTAAAAAACTATGCTTGTGCATCATACAAAACCTCATGATGTTTTATCAACCTTTATTCAAACTTTTTTCCATTAATAAAAAAACACGCTTAGTTCACATAATTATTGAAGAGCGCAATTGCACACATATTGTTGGGTTTGGATTAAATTTTCATCAGCGATGTCTTACGACGTTGTTCCGACGTCGTTTTAAGGACGTTGAATTGACGTCGGAAGACGTCAAAAGACATCGGAGTACGTTAATATTATGACGTTGCCCGACGTCTTTTTATCGACGTTGGATCGATGTCAGTACTGCGACGTTTTTTGGACGTCTTTTATAAGATGTCGGAACAACGTCAAAATACATCGAAACGACGTCAGGGGATGTTGAGATAAAGACATCGCCCGACGTCATTTTACTGACATCGGAACAACGTCGGAATAGGTCTTTTGACATCGCTGATGAAAATCAAACGTAAATCCGACGTCGGATTGACGTCGGGTGCCCACTGGGTATTTGACAGTTTCAAGAAAACAGGTTTTTAAAGATTGAGATCCTCAATCCAATACATACATACATACATATATATATATATATATATATATATATATATATATATATATATATATATATATATATATATATATATATATATATATATATATATATATATATATATATATATATATATATATATATATATATATATATATATTATATACAGCACTTGCTTTGTAAACGAAAAGTGCATGGTTCGACTCCTACCACATTTCTGATAATATCAAGATTAACTTATTTCTCCGCGTAACGGATTAATTTTACAAGGTTTGTGTTTTAAACGTAGTAACAACAATTATAAAAATATTTATACAAATAAGTAGCCTAATTGACAACAGAAACCTTTTCAGCTTCGGCAATTACACCAATAAAAGACGGTGATAACCAGGTGCGAACCGAACATATAAACTGTATAGATATTTGAGGATTAGCTCTCCGCAGTAATCTATCCTAAATTGATAATATTTTCTTCACTTAAACTTGAAATTATTTTATACTCAGGGCCGTACCGAAGAAGCCTCTCATATGAGGGAGGGAAGGTGTCGTGCGTGTTTTTTCCATTCTTTTCCATCTTTCCATCTATATTTCATACTTGACATTTGCCAATTATACTTCAAAAACTGTTAACTGAAATGCTATATGTACAAATGTGCGAACTCAAATGCATACATAACAGCTAGGGGGGGGGGAGGAACACCCCTTGTTTAGAACGGCCTATTTATATTAAACTGATTATAACCACAATATAACATTTTTAAATTTTTTATTTAATTATTAATAATTAAATATTATATATACACTGTATTATAAACACAAAAAGAATGTAAAAAATGTTTAAAATATATGATCTATATAAAACCGTTATTTCGCAAAGTCTAGAGTGCCTAGATATGATAGACCTGCCAGCTTGTTTAAAATCTTTATCTTGTCCGAAAAAAGTTACCTGGTATGCTAATATCACATCAGAATGATAATCAAAGATGTCGATTATAAATTAAAAAAGAAGTTCAAACTGAAACTTACCAATAGTTTTACTCTTTGTTTAAAAATATATTTGGATTGCTAATCTATCGAATAAGTTCAATTTGAAACTTAAAAAGGAAAGTAATCCCGGAGGATAATATACATAAAATCAATCACGTACGGGGAGGAATGACATGCGGTTTTAACATAGTAATTAATTTCTTATTGACATCCTCTTTTCTCAAATAATTTCCTAAAATAAATTATCGAGTTCTTGACACGGAATTGCTTGGTTTCTTTTTAATTAAAACGAGGAACTTTTGATATTAAATACTGATGATATTAAATGTTACTAAACTATGTAAAAATTACTATAAAAAAATGATTTTATATTGAATAAAGCATAACATAACAGAAATAATTAGAATAATAATAATAAATAACTTTATAAAAACTATAATTGTACAAAAAAATTAATAAATAACTTTGTAGAAACTAAAAAATTGTCGTTTTTTCCCCAAGATCTACAAAAATAAAATAAAAATTTTGCAGTGTAAATAAAATATTAATATTAGTATGATATAAATAAAATTTTAACTTTCAGCAAAATTTATGTTAGTAGAATAAAAGTTATAAGAAAGATTTCACTTTTAGTTTGTTTGTTTAAAAGTTCTTTCTCAAATGTATTGTAATTTCTTTTAAATTTTCCTATTTAAACATTTATGACAACCATCAAGTTTAAAATGCTGATTAAACATACTTGTCAATGGTCAAACGTACTATTCAATGGTCAAACATAATTTTCAATGGTAAAAAATACTTGTCAATGATAAAACATACTTGTCGTTGGTCACATAGCCAATCTTGAATGTAATTCTAATAATTAATTATATTTATTGTTTCGGATAGCAAAAATTTGAAGTCAACGTTACCTAAAACAGTTTAGAATAAATAACAGTTTGAAAAAAATTTTAAAAAACAAATAAAGATTTTATACCAAATTTTTCATTGTTTTTTTACTGGTTGTTTCTTAATTATTTGTTACTTGTTTTTTTTAGACACTTTTTTTTTTAGACACTTGTTTTTTGTAGACATAGTTTAATAAACTATAAAACAATAAAGGGATTTCCAATTCTAGAATTTGCTCAACAAAAAATTAAAATGTTTTGCTGATGGCAAAAGACGTGTTTAAAACACGTATTACTACGTCTTAAACGCGTCATTTACCCATTGGTAGCGACTAGCTTTTCGCTACCATAGGTAGAGAATAGCTGGCTTGTCGCTATTTATATTTTATATAAATAGCGATTAGCGAATAGCTAGTCGCTATTTTTTAATTGTTATTTTTTAATTATTATATTTAATTGTCGCTATTTATATTATATACATTTCGCTGGCTTGTCGCTAGCTCATTTTCCACCGGGTAAATTTTTTTTTAATATGCAAACAGCTTTTAACT